TATATTTAATAATTATTTTTTTTTAACAGATGTGGGTAAATCCATAAGACATGCAGAATCTCCTATTTCTTTTCCTTAACACACCATTGGTTTCCAAGCTAAGGAGACATTCCCCTGCACATCCTACCACGGTCATTTTCCTCCTGTCACCACAGTCCTCCCATTTACCTTCAGCAGAACCTGTAGTTCACCACAACAAAGTCTTCACCCGTAGTTTTATTTTGAAGTCTCATGCCTCAAATTTAATGGAATTTTTAAAATGTGGACTACTACGTGTTTAGTGCAGCCCTTGAATTACAGTGTTGTAATAAACCATCCATATGTGTCTTGACTCACTCTTGGGCAGAAACAGGAATACATATTTTGTGCTATAAGCATTATTTAGCTAAAAGGCACTACATTTAAAAAGACTCTCCTCTGATCCTTACAGCAAGGGATTGGGGCTTTTGGAGCAGAGAAAACTAAAGACCATTAAACTTCTTACTAATTACAGATATGTTACAGTTTATTTATCTTATGCTCCATAAAATATACCATGCTCTACAAGATATACCATACAGTAATTTGATTCAGTCTTTCATGTGAGCATTCAAATCTCTGTTTATTTCAAAGGATTGTGTTTGAATCATTGGATAGATTTGGGTCCTTATGCTGCATCTTCATCTATTTCATTAGTGTCTTTGTTGCTGAAGATTCTGAACTAGCAAAGATGATAGAGCAATCACTGGTTCTCTCGTCTTGATTGGGGTTTGGGCTTCAGAAATCTATTGGGGAAGTATGCAGTGAGGAAACATGGTCACTGACGGAACCATTTGCATTTTCTGTCACTGGATCCATACAGGGAAATAATTCCTGCTGGTTGGTTATGCACAACATACATATGGTTATTGAGGGGAAAAAAGATATTAAAAAGTCAGGAAAATGGAGCTGTAAATGGAAAGAAGCATTGCAAAGAGTTTACATCTCAATAGAAACAACATGGAACTCACAAAAAGTGGTCCAGGCAGGGCGTCATGCTGTCAGATGCCTGTCCCCCAACCAGGGGGAAGTTTTATCTTCTCTAGCCTCAGAGCAAACATTACTGAGTCCTACAAGCCCATAATCAAACAGCATGCTCCAGAGTAAACAGGATATGGAGGGTAGTCATGGGAACTGGGTGCTACAGATGCAAAACTATGGACAGATGCCTTTACCTCAAGGGCTGAAAATCAGGCTATGTCTACACAGATACAGAGGCAAGTTCACCCTCCCTGTTTTGTGGGGAGATTGGACAAGAGCGAGAGGGGCAGTTGGAGAGCATATATGTTATATGAGATTTCTAATGGAGTAACCTTCACTGAGCGTATGTTATATGAGAATGCTAGTAGAGGAACCCTCATGGAGCTGGCTCGTGCCTGGCTGCCTTGCAACACAGGCAAAAGTTGTGTCTGTCTATACCTGTCTGGTGGTTTGCCATGGAGTGGGGGCTTGTGGAAGCCAGCTGAAAAAGGAACATTCAGACCTGATGAGAGCTATCCAAGTGAGTTTTACTATACAATGGATGGTCCTTTGCTACCATCACCAGTTTCTAAACACCCCTGAAGTGACCATACCTTTGCAAAGAGACAAGGAAGCACTATTACAACCCTTTGTCTAATTTTGTAGTGGGAGCATAGTACCATAGAGTACTTGAAGAAAATGCACTTAGATGTGTTTCCTTTTATTTGATGCAGGGGTGTCTCCATAAGGTCACCTAAGCCCCTGGCAATTGCTGGGCAAGTCATCTTTACTGATGTAGGTACCACTTGACAGCTTCTAGACCAGAAATAACTCACGTCCAGAGTCGCTGAACATTTCTTGCTTATAAATGTAATTATTGGAATGATCTACAGCCACTTAAATTTTAAACTTTCACCTAAACCACACGGCTCCCTTCCCAAGGCAAGTATTCAACACAGACGTGCTCAGCAAGCAGCAGAGATGCTGGTAGGACTTCTGTCAGACCAGGAGGACAAAGCAGAGCAGTGGGAAGGGCTTATCTGGCCAAATGTAGATGTCTGCATCTGAGATAGTTGCTGAGATTCTCTTAATGATCAGGAAGAAAAATAAGCACTTCTGGAAGCAATTTGTCTCAGAGTATAACTTTCTACAAGACATCCCATGGATCATGCTATTCAGCTCTCTTTTTCTGTCCTTGATCTTCCAGTTCATCTGCAAAGAGGAAAGGTGAGAAATTATTTCTAAGCTAGGGGCCACTTTGGTGGCTTGGAAGTGTGTCAGACTGTTGCGACAATCCATGAATGGCAGACTCACTGCGGCAAAGTAAAACATGCAAAACCCAGCAATAATCTTTCCCGCTGTCTTTCTACAAATGGCAGATGAGGTAGTCAGATGCAACTAGTGTGAATGTGCCTGTTGTGGGTGCACATGGGGTGAAGAGAGCAGCTATGGTCACAATTTATATGGTATATGATTTTGCACAGGAGAGGAGCTGCTGCTGTAATCAATGCTGCTCAATACAAACCACTATCTCTAATTATGATACCCAAGTAAATAAAACACTCTCTTCACGCTGATGAAACCACTGCTCTGCTCCAAGTTAGCTTTTTGCTAATAGAAATCAGAGGTGGGTTTTACTTTCTTGATTTTTTTCTTCATCAGGTGATCATGATGAAAATGCAAATCTTCACCGCGACACTCTTGGAAGACAAGAAGAGACAGAGGAAAACCTAATGAACAGCAATGCACTGCCCGGTATTTTTGGATCCTTAAGCCCAAAGAGGAAAAGGTGCTCATTGGCGTACCTTACCTAACATCCCCCCAAACACCTTTTCCATCCTTCCCAGGAATGGTATGCCCTAGGACAATACACCTGTTGATAGAAAATCCATTTGCTCGCAGCAGCGATTCCTTCACTGCTCCTCTCCCACATGACAGAGTGGGATGTACTTGTAGGCAAAATATTATCAGCTCGAGATAGATTGTCATCAGGTGCTGTCCAGTGCAGGGAGAGATTGAAATGGATGCTGAGAGTGCCTCAGCTATGCTAATGAACTCTACTAATGAAAATGAGCCAAAGAGGATAACAATCTCTGTAGCCAGATAGAGCCAAGAGCTTGTGTAGTTGTTTTTTTCGTACGGGGAGGAATGGAGTCAGGTTTGATGGGATCAACAAGTGATGGCAGGTAGCTGCACTGGTCTGTGTGGATGCAAAACATTTCCCTATGAGAAAGACAGAGATAGTCTCCGCTGATGAAATCAAGCCTAACAGTTCACAACAAAGCTACCTGCCATAAACAATGCTTGCTTAGTGACAAGAAGTCTTTCCAACATGTGTCCAAATACCAGCTCTTGCCTAGAGATGCCTAATGACCGGCTTTGTCATTTAAACAGGGCAAAGCTGGTGACCAGAATTCATGAAGAGGAGATGAAATCCCAGAACTACCAGGTGAGCAGGGGGTGATGGTACTCATGTGCCTGTGAAATCCCCAAGCAGTCTGGACCTGAGCCCAGGAGTGTGCATGGTGTCCTTGTGCCCCACAGATCGCCATCACCATCATCGAGGCCAGGCAACTGGTTGGTGAGAACATTGACCCTGTGGTGATCATCGAGATTGGTGATGAGAAGAAGCAAACGACAGTAAAGGAAGGCACAAACGCCCCTTTCTACAATGAGGTAGGTGCTTTCTCTTGAAGAAGGCACTTTCTTCAATGGTTCTGGGTGGCCTCCACTACTTGGTAGCTCAAAAGGGGATGAACTAAGTTTGTAGCACCTGCATGTCTGAGCAGGGAGGTCTGTCCAGGACCTGTTTGAGTTTCAAGCTTGGCCAAGCACCAGCAATAACTCACTTGATTTTGGCTCTATTTGTTTTTTCTCTTCTCAAGCTCTGTCCATCCTGTTCCCCACCCCCTTCACTACATCCTGCCCTACTACCACTGCTTCTGCATTTTTTCAAATGATCCATGTGAGAGCTTTGTCTATACTGCTGCGCCCCCCCGCCTTTTCTACCATTTCACTGTTTCAGCTTTTCCTTGACATGTGTTTGTCCCAGCTGATGACAAATCAGACGAAAACAACTCCCAAAACTGAACAGTCCTTTGGGTTTCCCTCGTGCCTCCTGTCCGTTCTGACGATGCCCTCTGATGAGGAGTGAGGGCCATGGGCATTTGCAAAGGGCAGTGCTGTGCAGCCATGCAAGTAGGAGAGTAGAAAACAAGTCTGGGCCATGGTAGACATGAGCCAGGGAGCAAGGAAAGGGTCTTGCTGTGCCTACCACCACCTCCCCAGCACCCCCAGTGTTTCACCAGGGCTCTGTGTGGTAACCCAAAAAGCTAAATCATGCTGCTGACAGCGCTGGCTACCAGCACAAGGACGATTTTGATCTGCTATTCCCTCTTCCTGCAGTACTTCATGTTTGATTTCGTTGGACCACAGGTGTTCCTGTTCGACAAAATAATCAACATCTCTGTAAGTATCTAGGAAAGCGTAGCACAGTAAGTAAAGGTCATTGTTGTTCGTTTCACTTGAGCTCTAAATGTTTTTTCTTAATGTAATTTAAAAGAGAAATAATTTTAGGTACCAAGAGTGCTATAAAGTCAGCATGAAGTATAGGAAATAAGAAGGATCAGGGAAAGGAAAAGGAGGAAAGGGCAGCTGGCAATGGTTTGAAGGAATGTAACCCTAAAGGAAGATTAAGTGTGCATTTTCAGGGATGCTCATTGCTGGCTTGGCAATCTGCAAGGTAGAGTGAGAAAATTTAGCTTAGTTAACTCTTGTCAGCATTATCTTCATGCCTCTAATTTTCAAGCTGCCACTTGTTTCATATGACTGAGTTGAAACTTATGGCTTATCTGACATCCTCACATAAAACTGTTTCTAATTAAACTATGCAGGTACCTTATCCTCAGCAGCGGCTCTTGGGCTGTCACGGAGTGGCAGTGGCTGATTGCTATTAACAGGGCACTGGGCTCCAAGTGTTCAGTGCTGCGCCCGCTGCAAGTAAAGTCCCAGCAAAGCTATGTGACGTCTCAGAACAACCCTGATGTAAGACACACATGCGCTTTGACTTGGGACACTAGATAATGATTTGCAGTTTGGAAGACTGTCTATGGAGCTATGCTAATTCTCTTACCTGAGGATCCGGAGGTTCATCACCACATTTAGCAAAGCTGCTGAGGAATTAAGGAAGATCTCATGTGAGTCTGGACAGTGCTGTATTTGTATTACTTAGAAATATCACAACCTGTGCCCTTCATGAGCTGGGGTTTTTTTTGTGTTTCTACTGCCAAAAGTCCCACCACTTGGCCAGAGAAATTAGCAGTGAGTTGTTGCCCCAGAAAAGGTTCTTTTCCCCTGAAGTGCTTTGTGCATTTCAAAAAAGTACACCAGGAAAGGGCCTGTGCTGGTTGTGCTTGACAGAAAGTGGTCAGGAGCTATAGGAAACATCTGTGCAAAACCTCTTAGAGATGTTCACTGTGTACCTGCTTTGCTGAGCTGCTAGTAAAGTGACTTTTCTCAGCTACAGAAATAAAAAGTGTTCATTTACACATGGACAGCTGGACGACTAGGTTTTCCATGATGGTAGTAAATTGACAGTCTGAATCCTAAGCTCCAGTTCAAATCTGCTATATCACATGCCCAGCTCAGATATATGAAATCCATGCCTACATAAGGTAGGCAGATCTGACCTCCATTTATCCCTGAGGATAGAGTTTACTACAGGCTGTCAATGGCCCATCTTTTGCATGGGAGTACATATCGTCTCACTGTTATGACTTATATCACAGTGTATAGCCCCTATATGTGCTTTCTGACATGGTTAGTATCAGCACAGTACCGAGGCATCAAGTCTTGTGAGATACCTCTGCTTGGGGATGTATAGTTATTTCTCTCCAAGATATGGCCAGTCTTTCCAATCTCACATTCTTTTGATGATAAGGATTTCATACATCCAGTGGTGGAGGAGAGAATGACAGCTTTCTGAGTGTGTTGGGGATGTGGGGAAACGTGTCACCATTATCTGCATAGTTTCATCGGGCTCAGCAAACTTATTTGATTTATAGCTGGTGAAGGTGCAACACTAAGAATGTAAATGTCTTCTAGATAAATATGACTTTAAAAAAAGCCCCCAAAAAACAAACCAACAAACTAAACCAGCACAATGCTCATGTATGCTACTGAAAACAGAGATTCATTACCTTGCAGCATAGTTTTGGAGGATGCAATATATCAAGGGAATAGAAACAGAGGAAATATGTGTGCAGGGAGTGAAGGAAACCCTAGGGGGTGGAAAGTTTCACAACACTTGCTTAGCATGAATCTCACTTAAGGAGAAACAAAGATTGGCAGCCTCCATTACCAGCAATCATTCATGCACTGAATTTGCTTAATCTGTGAAAATGAAGTCATCTGCATATGGAAACTCAAGGAAAATAAAAAAGTTTAGTGCCGTTCTCCATCAGTTCAGCAGTTAGTCTACCTGTATTCAAACCCTGCATTTGAGGGGAAAATGAGATTTTCAGTTTCTCAGCATCTGCTAATTAATAGATTTTTTCTTCATTAATTCCAGTGCATTCCAGCAACCTCGTAGTAATGCCAGAGTAAAACTGAGATGCCCCTTTCATGCTAAACCTGTTATCTCTAGCACTGAAATACTCCCCAGTTTAATACTGTGCGTGCTTGTCCTCATTCAGAAAATCTGAAGAAAATCCTTCAGTCATCTATAGTCAATCAAGTGTGAAAAGACACAAACCTTTAATTAGATATGATGTAAATGTGATGCTTCTTCTCAGAGAAGGCAAGAGGTGTTTGGTATAATCTTCCTGCTCACCTTTGTTACATTAGAAAAAATATGCTTGAAAAAAAGTACCAGGAAAGATGCAGAGTGTTTAATAGAAGCAGTGAGTTATTTCCTCAGCAGCTAAAAGCAACGTGCGCTACAGGGAGTGGAAACCCCCATCATTTCAGTGGCAACAGGGGACATTTACCTGAGGGCACCACATTTCACACAGCAAACCTCAAAGACAGAGAAGTGAGGTTTACACTTTTAACACTCTCTGAACATACTGTCATGCCCTGGAGAGAAAATGCAAAGAACAATGAGACAATACCACCTTGGACTCACCGCGTAATACCACATATCCTCCTAGCTCTTCAAGAAACTCGTTTGTTTGTTTGTTTGTTTGTTTTGGCTACAGAAAGGCTACAGCCTTCTTCCCCCTTTAATCCATCCCATGTTGGATCCGTTGATTTGGGCAAGCTCCTATTTCCATGTAGTTCCTCCAAAGCTGTACTTTTGCCTGGCTTCAGGATGAAACCCACCAGTTTTCATGGCTTCTTTCCCACTCCTGTGTGCCCCAGTACAACCACATAGGAGGGATAGTCCAGTGCTATGATGGGACCTGGCAACATCAGGGACTGAGAAAAAGCAGCACCAGTGCATGAAGCATTGGCTTCACACTGGCTCCTCTCCCACATGAAGGTTGCTTAATTTTTAAGCTTTGATAGTAGAGTAAAATAAAACTGCTCCTTTGTCCACTCTTGAATTTTCAGCCCTAGAAACTACTTCCATGTTGAAGTGAGGAATTACCAACGGCAACTGAGTGTGATCCCTAAATCACAGGGCCACAGTGGCCCCAGGCCTTTAACAGCAAATGACATTATGTCGCAACTAGAAACCTCCTGAATTTTCTGGTAGATCTTGATGAAGGTGTCAGTGATTTTTACTCTGGAATGCATGTCTCCTGATCTTGAAGAAAAAGGCACAAAATGAAATCACATGACAAATCCAGTGCAAAATCACACAAGTCTTGTATCCCTGTCTAGGATGTATAGATAATAATGTATTCCAGGTTCCTAAAATGCTCTCAGAGGCTGGGTTCTTTAGCTTCAACATTTAGATTTAGCTTCCATGGACTCAAATCCCACAGGCTTAGTTTCTCTTTGCAGTTTGGCCAAGGTGTTCCAGATAATTCAGCCTGCTTTTAGAAGATTTTCCACAATCAAAGAATAGGTTCCAACCTTTTAAGCTATTCCAAAACCAGGTGAGATAAATTTTTTTGAGAAATACAGTTCTAGAGCCAATCTTCCCTTAGAAGATGTTGCTAGCCTCTGCCTTGTCTGTAAAGTGAAGCACATGCATGCATTTGAAAACCAGACACAGAAGTACATAGATCTGGGAATAATTACAAGGGAAAATTATTAATTAAATTTTAATTCAATTAAATTAAATTCTTGGCTGGAAGGATAAGGAGACAGACTCGCTGGGGCCTGCTTGCCATCTCATTTACATCTATATCACTTCTCTGATTTCATTAATATTGTGGGGGGTAAATCAGAATTGAGTCTCTTGGTTTATGCGCGCATTGCAATGTTGCAAAGAAACAATTTAATTCTTTGTCCTCTGGGTGTACTCAGTTCTTATGGCAATTCAGCTAGTGCACAGAAAGTTATATGATTTCTGCAGCCTAGTGTGAAACCAGTTATGCCCCATGTGTTTATATTCATTATGATTTATTTAAAACTGCCAGGATAAGTAATATAACTGCATCGCCTCTGAAGACACATACATCTGATTCCCGTTCTGTATAATCCTGGGACCTGGGATGAACCTGTGTGATTCCACTTGGATGCAACTATATTGGTTTCTAAATTGGCACAATATTGGGTAAAGAACAGATTTCAAATGCTTGCTGTATCTGCTGTGGCTATGTACACCCAGGTTTGGGTGGTGCTGCACATCGCTGCTTATTACCTCTGAACCAAATGTGATCTTTGTTTGGGCTGCTCTTTCTTATGCTGACGGGGAAGAGAGATAACGACATTCTTTAACCAGCCTTTTTCTGACAGGTTATGCACAATAAACTCATTGGGAGTGTGCTGATAGGATCCTTTAAAGTAGATCTGGGGACAGTGTATGGTCAGCCAGGTAAGTAAGTGGTGCATTTTCTGCCCTTTTTGTCTGTTAAATGAGATGTGAAGCAGGGAGGGAGCGGAGAGGGGGTTGTGCTCCTTTTCCACTTAGATGCTTGTGGTTTATGCCAAGGGATAAAGTTAACAAGGTTTTTGGAAGGTTTCTTTTCCTATTTGGATACCAGACCAGCAGCCAAATTTTTGGAAAAAAGCTCAACACTGAAAACACCTTGACAATCAGCCCATTGGTGGGAAGTGTGTATCAAAGGCAGGTTTTTTGTGGGGAGTCAGAGTGGGCAGCTGAATGCTCTACAAAACCCAACTCCATTCATTTGTTACAGAGCATCCAAAGCTCTGCTTTGTGTGTTGGGGTAGAAGAGGTGGAGGGAGGGAGAGCGGGATGGAACGTGGAAGGAATGGTGAGTAGAGCACAAGACAAGAGGAGGAGCAGACCGTAGTGGGAGAGGGAAGGAGACAACAAAAAGTGACCATAGGTCCACTTGACCAGCCATCTTCAGAGATGTCCAGTGCTTTCTGAAATTTGAAGATAAGAAAAGATCACCTACCCCTTTTTTGGCCTGTTTTTACAACCATCCACAAAACACGTATCTTTCTCTCTTCCATAATTACTCAAGGACCTGGTCTCTTTTTAGTCTTTGGGAATGAACGTATTTAAGGCCACTTGCTATAGATGTCACCCAGTTTTGGCAAAAGCGTAGAGTCATTCAGGCCACCTTCTCTTCAGGGCTCCTGCAAGAGTCAGTAGAGAAAAATGGCCTGACTGAAGTGAGAGGTCTATGTATGTACTCAGACAGTGTTAGTCTGAGTTCTGTCCTGTATTTCTTGCTCACATTTTTACAGGAGGGTGGTGTTTGAGGGTTGATCTTGAGCTCATATCCCTGGTACACTCTGGTCTCTCCATCCCACTCCTTTACACACCCAAGGTGATGGCCAAGGACTTAATGTAAGGTTTTAGGACCCTGCTCAAGGGGGGTTGCTGAAGCAGGGCTGCGGCAAGGGCTGTTGTGGGTAAATTGTCTTGTGCACTTTCCCACTGGAAAGATGGAACTGAACCTTCTTTTGGCTGCTGCTTCTTCCTCTGATGACTGTCCACCCTCCTTCCTCCCTTTCTCAGCTGGCTGCCAGTGTTATGACTGGCCGCAGCTCCCAGCAAGGGTTTTGCTGCTGGAGAGTTCTGAGATCTTCAGACAGTTCTCATCAAGAAGTTGATGTTTCCTCATAAAGCCTCAGTCTTAATTCAGCTTCCGCTGGTCTTTAGTCACTGATCTCAGTAACCATTGATGAAAATGACCTTGTTCCTGACAGGCTCTAGATCAATCCTTTGTTTGCCTTTTTGATCACACAACATTTTGGGCCCTCTAGAGGTGCCTGGTGAAAAAGTGTACTTCAGCATGATCCTCCTGAAAGCACAAATGCTGTTTACAATGCCCTTTCTGGGAGTGGAGAGGAGAAATATTTGCAATTTTTGCATCCTCTGTTTGGGTGTTTAAGTTTGTCCGTCTTACAGGTCATCAGTTTTGTGACAAGTGGGCGCTTCTCACAGACCCTGCTGACATTAGGACGGGACCCAAGGGATACCTGAAGTGTGACATCAGTGTGACTGGGAAAGGTGATGCAATACAAGCTACGCAGAAAACAGCTGATACTGAGGAGCAGATTGAAAAGTACTGCAATAGGTTTTTTTTACTGCTTTCTTCTTTACTAAGTACCTCAAGAGTCCTCTGCCCTCCTTTCAGTCCTTTCCTTGCTAACTCAGGGTTAATAGCAGGATAGCATTGTACGCTCAGCTGTTTTGATGTGCTCAAAGAGAGTTTTTACAATCCTCTCAACTAAATTGAAGTGCATGTTAGGGTCACTCCTCTGCAGCTGATAGAGTTGACCATGCCCTGTGGCTAAGTGCCAGATTATCCCTGACAGGAGATTCATTGATCTGAAATGAGTTAAATATTTCTGAAAAGCAGTGAAGTAAGAAGAAAAAATATCAGGAAAAGCTATTCCTTCTCTTTCCGATGTGTGTGCATGGATATTTTCTATATCCTTAGATAAACTCAGGTGCATTAGCATTCTCCTTGTAAAATACAGAAGTTCAAGGTGGTCAAGTATGCTGTCAGTATACTTTAAATTTTACAGGAGCAATGTTTCTGGTCAGTGCTGACATACTGGACCAAGTCCAGGGAGAGTCACCAAGATGATGGAGGGCTGGAGCACATGGTCTACGGGGAAATGGGGGTGCATGAATTGGTTTCTTGAGCCTTGAGAAGGTTAAGAGGTATCCTATGTGAAGAGAGCAGAGCCAGATTCTTTTCAGAGGAGTACAGTAGAAGGATGAGAGGCTTTGAACTCAGGTTAGAACAAGGGAATTTCAGAAGAGATACAGGATTTTTTTTTTATTTTTTTTTCACTATGAAGGTGGTCAAATATAACAGGGGCCCAGAAAGAGTGGGGAATCTCCATCCTTGGAGATATTAAGAATTTACTGGACAAGGTCCTGAAATACGTGATATAACTGGACCTGGTTCTATGTTACATAGTCAAGTTTGCTAAGAAATACTGTACCATTTTCTCATGGTAACCAGAAAATGTTTTTGTTTAGAAGCAAATTCATACACCTTTTTGTGTCTTTTCAGAATGCAAGCTAACTTGATATGACAATTTTGTTAGAAAAAATGTTACTTCATTGTTTGAGTTTTCAATTTTAAGGAAATGGCTTCTTTTTTTCTTTCAGGAACCTCTTGATCCCCAAAGGCTTTCCATCTGAAAGACCATGGGCCAGATTTTATGTGAGAATTTACAAAGCAGAAGGACTTCCGAAGATGAACTCTACCATCATGGCCAATGTCACCAAAGCATTCATAGGCGACAGTAAGGACCTTGTGGATCCCTATGTGGTGGTCATGTTTGCAGGTCAAATGGTAATTGGGATCCTCTTGATCACAAATGTAGGCCTTCTTTCCTATTAGCTGTGCTACAGGCAGGTGATTATGCTGATGTCCATTAACTTATAGTTACATAAATTAAGTAAAACATATATTTCTGTCATCAGAAAGAAAATTTTCAGTTCTTAAATTATGCAGGAACAAAGTGATGGAAACACTTAATGCCAGCAGATCTAATATCAGCCTCACAGCAGTAGGTTCGAGTCAGGCAGCAGGAGGGGAAAGAATTCTGTAGATCTGTTACTAAAACTTCAGGTAACAAGACAGTGAATTACCCAGTGTGGTATTAGGTAAGTGTTATGTTCTGGTCTCTCTAGAGTGAAAAAAGGAAGCAGGGCTGAAATCAGTAAAGATGGTTTAATCTGGATTTTAGGGCTGTGAATTGACTTCTGAATTACTCTGCTGTAATTCAGGACCCTTGCAGCTTTTCTGTGGGTAGCAGAAGAGGAAGCCTTTGAGTAGACTCTGTCTCAGTGTTGCCTGGCTTCATTGCTCCCAGAGCTCCTTCAACATCAAACAAGGTGCTATAGAAAGCTGCTGAGAGGGGCCTTTTTGACTTTGGTGGAAGAGGAGTGCAGAGGAGGTCCAGGGTCCTGGTTTCTCTGGGGTACACTCGTGAAACACCATGTCAGGGAGCTTGTCTTGATTATTGGTGTAAAAAAGGAAAGAACCAAACTGGAAACAATTTTAAGTCAGCAATGCTTTCTGTGTGCAAGGAAGCCTTAGGGAGAACTCCAGTTAGTCCTTTACAGATGTTTCAGGCAGGAAAATGAGGCCCTTGGTGCTTATTTAATATTTTGTTGTGAATTCATATGGCAAAGTATTACATCTCAAACTAGTATGGGTTCAAACGGTCAGATGCATGCAGGTACTTCAGGTTTAATAGATGGCTGAAGAAGACATAAGAATGGGTCACTGATGTGAGGTTACATGCTAGTGTGTAAAATATGGGTTTAGAGGTGTCGTTGGTGGGTTTCCTGACTCGATTCTCCCCACCAAATGAGAAAGTAGAAAGCCTGCCATAGCATGTGGCTGCATGGACTGTGATACGGTCCTGCTGTCTCCTTCAAGCTAGGAAGAATAGCTCCAGTCTCTACATCCCTAACACCCAGAACATGAGCCACAGTAATCATATTTTATGCTAGATAAATTGCCTCATTTAAGGTAATTCCATTGGTACATACAACCTGGCAGCTGTAATGAATTTCATCTTTTATGAGACAAACTGCGCTGCATTACTACTACTCAGGTATTTCAAAAGCCATTTGAAGATGTACAGTTTGTAGCAGAAATGTAAAAGTCTGGCTTCACAGATATGTTTTGTGCATAAGGGCCCTGAAGAATTAGATCTTATTCCAGGCTGTAATGTGTGCAGGTGAGAATTCTTTAGCCATAATGTGGTCTTTTATTAGATATGGAAGGGAAAATAAACAAGCTAATAGAAAAGCCAAAGTACTTTCAAGATAGGATATTTGTGCTTTAAAAGTGACCAGAGAGATGTTGCTAAATGCAATTTGCACTATACTCATCACCATTCTCTAGAGCCTGACCCCTCTGGGGTTAAATTTGCTGGACTTTCATTTCAGGGTCGGACAACAGTGCAAAAGAACTGTGCAGATCCAATATGGCATGAACAGATTGTCTTCAAGGAAATGTTCCCTCCACTCTGTCGGAGAGTCAAAATCCAGGTCTGGGATGAAGGCAGCATGAATGATGTGGCCTTAGCCACCCACTTCATTGACTTGAAGAAAATATCAAATGAACAAGACGGTGACAAAGGTAAAGGGGAAAATGTCTGTTCCAGAATATGCCCTTAAGGTAAAATCTACTTGCTTGGGATCTGGGCACTGGCTAATCCCATTTTAGGAATGCCCAGAGCTCAAGTGAACATCCATAGTTTTTGTTGTTTCTGAGAGACTTTCTCTTGCTTACTTTGAAGTTATATTATGCTGTGCTTGGTGCATTGTGGTCTGCCACTGCCTTTCTTGTTACAGAGCTGCTACATAACTTGGTACCTTCTTTGTGACTGTGGCAATAGTCTGCTCTAGTCCATTAGGGATGACTGATGTAAATTCATAGTTCGCAGAATCACAGAACAGTAGGGGTTGGAAGGGACCTCCGAAGATCATCTAGTCCAACCCCCCTGCTAAAGCAGGATCACCTGGAGCAGGTTGCACAGTTCATGTGAGTTTCTGTTGGGCAATGAAAGCACAAAGTGCAAATGATGGGCAGAGAAGGTTTGTGGTTTTGATCTACCCAGTAAGAGCAAAGTGTTAGTTCAGCTGGGTGTTATCACAGCTCAAGGAGGTACATGGACTAGTGTGTTTGTCCTCATGTGTGTGAGGTAAAGCTCACTATCTGGAGTCTTTTCACTGATGTTTGAGTCTAAATGTATAGCCTTATTTTTGTTGTGTGATCTACATGTGGAACATGGTCAGTTATCACAGCTCAGCAAAAGCATAGTAACTCCTTAAACCTGGCAATTCAAATGTGTGCCTGAGTGCTTCATCAGAAAATAAACAATAAATTATATAAACTGAGTAGTGACATGGGCTTGGGAACAGTTTGGACAAGGTGAGAAAACCTCTGTTCCTCCCCCACTATGTCCCAACCCGCAGTCTATGGGAGCAAGCTCTTTTTTTCAAGAGGTGCAAAAGGCCTCATGCCCCAGCACATGTGGTATGAATGCCTTCTGAGAAAGAGCTCCATATCATCAGAGTGCCTGGCTGGGTATTGGCAGAAGCTCCTTGGTGCCTAAGAATTGCCCTGGAAAACAGTGGTCTATATGAGGTGGTCCCCACCCACATAGAAATGGGTCCAGGTTTGGGTTTTGGTGTGCAAGAGGCAAGATTTCTTGGAGCAGACAGTGAGGGGAGCATGCTGACGTCTAATGGAAATGTCATAAAAGGTGCTTTATCTCCAGGGTTTTTGCCTACTTTTGGGCCTGCCTGGATCAATCTCTATGGCTCACCCAGGAACCACAGCCTAATGGATGACCACCAGGAGCTTAACGAAGGTTTTGGAGAAGGGGTCTGCTTCAGGGGACGTCTCTTCATTGAGATTGCTGTGGAGATACTTTCAGGAGGAGCCCGTGAGTCGAAGTTTTCAAGTATTATCAAGGATATAAAATTGCCATCTAAAGATAAAGACTTCAAAGCACCCAAAGGAAAAGACAAAACTGAGAAACCAGGAGAGGATCGAAAGTCAGTTTCTCCTTCAGATAAGATGAACTCAACTGAAGTGGAAGTTGAGCCATTTGATGTGCCTTCAGAGGTTGGTATGATATTAAGAGATTGATTGACGAGTATCCCTAAACCTCCAAGGATGGCACTGCTGCATTTATTTGCATTCAGGCAATGTAATACTGCTTTTATGTGCTCCCTGCAGCTTCTCCATGCCTCCATAATCTTGGGACTTTCCCATAATAATGCAGCACAAATGGAGCATTAATGTGTACCTGTAACTCACTAAAAAACTCTCAAGTAGGACTTGGTTTCCGTAACACTTAATCTCCTTTCCTATTGTCCCTTCTGCACTAGCTGCATCCATGTGATCCTACTGGGAACTTACATGATATAATATCTGCCAAATGACAGAGAGCCGATGGTGACAGCTGGTAATTATAAAGCCTGATTCCCTGCATTTGAGAAAATCAATAGTTGTCAACTGAAGTCAGTAGGAAATCACTGACACAGAATTTGTGCAAATGCAGAGAGATACAGTCTAGCCTGTTTTACTCTCCTCCTTGTCTCCTCTCCTGCATTGTCAATGTAGGTTTAGGTTGCTAATATCTTTAGGAGAGGAGCTGCAAATCATGTGCTCAGTCTCAGCTGGTGTTAACTGATGCTACTTTCCTAACTCCACCTGTTGTACTGGGTTACATCATGGGAAGATCTGTGCTATGATGCTTTGAGAAGATTGTGCAGTTGTGGCAGGGTGCTGAGCCAACACTTGAGCTTTGATTCTCTGCTCTATCACATCACTGTCTGGGAGCAACAGCACATTGGTGCATATGCAAGATCTTTTTTTTTTTTTTTTTTTAACCCAATAAATAGGAAGAAAAGTATTCTCATAACCTATTTTCTTCCCATTTCAGTATGTCATTGATCAAAATTTTGGCTTTTGTAGTGGGGGTCACACCTCAGTGCTTAAGACACTCATGTGCTTTATCAGATCTGATTCTTGGTATTTTGACTCCATCTCTACAAGTAAATAGGAGAGGAGAAATTCTTTCATCTTGAGACCTAGCCTTGACAAGCACTCTTCCTTGGCCTGTGCCCTGGCATAGCCAGCATGCGTGCTAGCTCGAGCAGGTCAAGGAGTGTGTTAGCAGAGAAATGACATAGGTAATTGCAAGCCAGTTGTGTGAACCCATGCCCTGGTCTTGCTTTATATACTCATATAGTTGGAAATTGCCTCTGTCCCTCATTTCTTCTCTGAAGATTGTAATAGAGGTGACATGAGAAGAATTTTATTTCCATATAGATTTTCCTTGATGTGGAAAAATCCATTATTGTGAGCAGTTCAAACACTATGGTTTTAGGTGCTAGCAAATATTCCAGGTAGAGGAACAAACCCTGCTGTAACACCAATAAATATTAATACTAGTAATACAGATTTATTTCTGCCTACTGTGCCTCAGTTTCAAATACAGAATGAGTAAAAGGCAACAACATAATTCAGTGATGTTTTATATTCTTTTGTTTTTGACATTTAGCAATATTTCATGCTACAGTAGACACAGTAATTGTATTACAACTCTCTGAAAGGAAAAGCAGGAACTGAAGACATTACAAATAAGGCGAAAAATGTCTCATAGAGCCTCTGAGACAAGAGAGGCAAATTACCCAGCCCCACAGTACAACTTTATTGACTATTCCAGCAGCAAGAAAGCATTAAACATTTGCAATTTGCTTGCTTTATAATGGGAGAGAGATGTGTGTGTCATAGTCTCTGAGCCTCAGCTTTATTAGGCACCCTGTGCTCTGGGTTCATGCTGAAAATAATCAAGGTGCAAGGAAAGTAAAGCTGCTCTGGATCTGCAATCTGTTTGTGGTGTTGGTTTTGATATGTGATGCTGCTAACCCTTTCACTGAAGACCTATGCCTTTTACTGCGTATAGTAGAGGGTTTTAAAAATTATGAGATCGCAGGCTGTGTCAAAAGCTGTTTCTGCTTTGCATAAGTCAGGGAAACAAATATTCATATACAGCTGATTTTTAATTCATCGCCTCACTCTGTTGCAAAAGAAGCTAGTACTGGTCTTGCCTACTGGGCTTCAGTATGTTGGTGTCCATTCTGTGAAATGAGTAGGGTTTACATCAGAGAGATTGTGGCAGTCAGGGTATATATTTTGGGAGAACTCAAACCTCAAAATGTATCTCCTTCGAGCATAGTCTTGATACAGTGCTAATAGCTTGTTTTGTTAACGACACAAGAGCGCTAGAGGTATTAGTTGTCCTTCCTTGAGTGAGAGTGTGTGCCAGGGACAAGCAGATGCTGGGTCTCCAGTAGGTTTCAACAAAGCCTAGCAGAGCCTTAAAATGCCACAAAAGGTCATTACACCTTTCAGGGTGTGCTGCTGTGCTGAGACACTGTGGTTCCAAATTCTGTCAAAAGCTGAAAAAAAGGTTACTGGGTTACTGGTTTCTATGCTGTGATGCAAGGGAAGCAAAAAGCAGAGGACTGCACCCCCTTGCACTGAGACCCATTCTCTGGGCCTGTGGTTTAAAACACAGCAGGATATAAAAAAATGAAGGACTGCTTGGTTTCAGTAGGCTTTTGCATAGAGCTGCCAACTAAAATGTGGATACTGGAAATCTTTGTGTCTTACTGGTGTCATTAGGAGCTGAGTATCAAAGTCTTAACTCTGAGCAAGGTCAAAGTCTTGATAGTACAAATACATAGGCAGTAGGTTCAAGTCACGCCAGGGAAAGCAGAGCTGGGTGAGCACCCCCCTGCCTGGATGCATTACGATGGCAGCATTTACTACTGCAGTGCAACGGAACACTACCGCAACACTCACTGATAAATGACTTACATTGGGATGGTGATATTTTGTTGCTGTTGTGTTAAAAGAGTGCCCTTAAACTGCCCTTGAACTGCCTAGATGTATAGTTTGAATGATGGTATACGAGTATGTGAAGATGCTGAAACCATTTAATAATGACTACTGGTGAGGCAGAGTATGAAGTGAGGAGTAATGACTTTCACGTAAACAGTTCTGATATAACTGGACAATATTGACAAGACCACAGTCACACAGGATTATCTATTTTTTCCAGTCATATCAGTTTCTCAGAGAAGAGGTATTTCTTCTTTGTACAAATTGTGCCTCACTGACCACCCCAGACCGATAGATCTATGACAGTAACACAGCTGCTAGAGACTTATAAAGACTCCTCTGTGCTGTAAAAAAGACAATAAGGTAAAATAAATGTAATTTTTCTGCCTCTTTCTTCTCCAATAGATCTATGAAGAAAAATTTGAGGAATTCCTCCTCTTTGGGACATTTTTTGAAGCCACAATGATTGATAGGAAAATTGGGGACAAGCCAATAACCTTTGAGGTTTCTGTTGGTAAGTGTGTTAAACTCTTCTCCAAAGCAGAGAGGGAGTCTCAGCAGCAAAAGCATGCTCTGTCTTATTGACAACTGTGTCTCAGGGCTCAGGAGTCAGCTTCAGAATAGGGCTTACATTTGAATTAAATCTTGATCATCATTTCTCTGGATAGCAGTCAAGCTGAGCATACTGATGCCTAACTGTCTCTACTCCTAGATGCCCTGTATTAATACAAATCCTCTCACCCACTATATACAGCAACTCACCTGGTATTTAGTCTCCTAATCTCTTGGGAGACCAAACTCAAATAATTTACTTCAGGGTAGAGTTCATTCTGTGGTGCACATTGCAATTAGTCCCTGACTGTGAAGGAGCCCCTTTGCAGGGAGGATCCATGTGGAACTTCTTGGCCAATCCCATTGAGCTACATAAGGGTCTGTGAGTGTGGCATGGGGGTGATGTACAGCCAAGACTCAAAATGCATGTACCAGCTTGTCCTCTAAGATCCTCCTGGTAAGTTTTGTCCTCTTTCTGAGTAAAGCAGGACTGTACTCTGTGAGGGACCTCCTCATGGTGGAACTGAATTAATAGAATCATAGAACCATAGAATCATAGAATGGTTTGGGTTGGAAGGGACGTCAAAGACCATCTAGTTCCACCCCCCCTGCCATGGGCAGGGACACCCTCCACTAGACCAGGTTGCCCAAAGCCCCATCCAACCTGGCCTTGAACACTTCCAGGGATGGGGCATCCACAGCTTCTCTGAGCAACCAGTTCCAGTGCCTCACCACCCACACAGTAAAGAATTTCTTTCTAATATCTAATCTAAATCTACCCTCCTTCAGCTTAAACCCATTACCCCTTGTCCTGTCACTCCATGCCCTTGTAAACAGACCCTCTCCAGCTTTCCTGTAGGCCCCTTCAGGTACTGGAAGGCTGCTATAAGGTCTCCCTGGAGCCTTCTCTTCTCCAGGCTGAACAACCCCAACTCAGCCTGTCCTCACAGGAGAGGTGGTCCAGCCCTCTGATCAACTTTGTGGCCTCCTCTGGATTCTCTCCAACAATTGTCCCTGGGTGTTGTGGTTTAACCCCAGCCGGTAACTGCGTGCCATGCAGCCGCCTGCTTACCCCTCCCCCTGCAAGGGGATGGGGAGGAGAATGGAAAAAAACCTTGTGGGTTGAGATAAAGACAGTTTAATAAGATAAAAATGGAAGAAGATGATGATGATAATAATAATAATAATAGTAATAACAATAAAACAAGTGATGCACAAATGAAATTGCTCACCACATACAGAAGGAAAAAAAAACACGAAAGCAACAATCCGATCCCCAGTCTGTTTCCGAGCAGCGATCCTGCCTCCCAGCTAGCTCCCCCAGTTCTATCCAGAGCATGAGGTTCCATGGCAGGGAATATCCCTTGGGCCAGCCTGGGTCAGCTGTCCTGGCTGTGCTCTCCCAGCTTCTTTTGCACCTGGCAGAGCGTGAGAAGATGAAAAGTCCTTGACTTAGTGCAGGCACTACAACTACCTCACAACAACTAAAACATCAGTGTGTTATCAACATTATTCTTATACTAAATCCAAAATGCAGCACTATACCAACTACTAGAAAGAAAATTAACTCTACCTCAGCTGAAACCAGGATGCTGGGAGCAGACTACAGAGAAAATGAAGACATTTTCATGAACATTAAGTGGATCTTTTCAAAGCAGAAGAAACTTCCCTTAAGAGAGAAACTTGAATTAGTCTCGTTTCCCTTGTTGGGGTTTGCTTATCTCTGTACTCGCCCCACTTAGAGTCCAAGTGCACAGTAGCACCCTGGGGCTTCCCATCTTTGTGCTTGTATACCTCAGTCTGCTCAACCACAAGGTTATGTGTGCAGGGAGAGAAGTCTGTGACAAACTGGACAATCAATGTGTGATATTGATTCACGCTGAAACTTAGCAGGAAGCTGAGCTGAGAATGACAAGAAACTAATTTGTATAGTTGGGGAAGAAATTACACTCATTGTTGTCAGAATTAATAGTAAAGATGAATCTGACTCTGAATTTTGGACCTGAACATCTACCAGGTACCTGTGCAGTTAAAATTTGGATCCTAATTTGGCAAATGGCCATTATTTACATGAAAGGCTGAACCAAAAGTCCAGATCAGGATGTCGTGTGGGGTGATTCAGCACATCCTTCTCCTGCAGAGAATGTTTTCTGACTGTCTCTAATAAAATCTGTAATTGCCAGTCTGATGGATGCACCTCTTTCCCAGTGCTGATAATTGCCCTTTAAGGCAAAATCCTATCAGAGAAGATGGCTGTATCGTTAACAGAGTTGTCTGGCATTAGACTTGAAGCTGGGGCCTCAAAGCATTGTTATTAACAACTCTGCAACCCTACTATGCAAAATTTGCTTGTCTGAAAATGAGCTTTAGCACTTCTGAGATCAGACTTTGAAACGATCATCCATACGTTTGCTATGTAAATCAAAACGTATCAGGGCTCCTGGGTCTAGAAATATTAACATCAGTATTGTTTTTGCTTCTGAATTTCTTTAGCAAAAGCAGAAGGTCCTGGGGCCAACAAGCAGAGGATCACATCACTTAGTGATGGGGTAGTATACTAGGTATATATCACATAGGGCAGGTAAAGAACCACTGTCCTCGGATCTGAAAAGTGATTGGGACCGACATACCCTGTCAAGAATTTTAGAAGCTGTGGTATGGCTAGAACAGATAATAAACAGGAGGAGACAAAGATTTTCCACCAGTATGACTGGTCTTTCTCTTTTTTTAAACCTCATTCAGGTTTACCACCTCCAAGCTAGTCATCTCTTCACTTGTAACCCTGTGTCTCTAGGTAACTTTGGAAATATTACTGATGGGGTGTCATCAGGAGCTGGAGGCAAAAAGAAGACACATGATAGAGAAGCAGAAGAAAGCCTGCTGCATGAGGGGGAGGATGAAATTTCTCATGACCTTGGAGTACCCCTGAGATCCACCACATCCCCTGAGAAGCCACTAATCACAGGTGGGAACAGGTGAGGATCTGTGTTTCAAAACTTTATCATGCAGGACTGTGGTTCCTATTTTATAATTCTGTGGGACTCATTAATGAACCCTGCAGCATGAAACAGGTTGTGTGGAGTTGAGGCTTTCAAATTCTCAACTGCATCTTTCACAACAGTACATTTTCTAGGCTCCACTGAAGTGAACGGGCTCTGAGCCATTTTACACTCATCTTCTGATCTTGGCCTCATGGGCTCTTGAACTTCTAAAAGGTGTTTCTAAAAGGGCTGCGTTATACCAACTATACATTGGAAAGCTATAGGAAAGTGCTACTCCTTCAGTGCTATCCCTGGCTTAGGGTCCCATACTCTGTTCACAGGTAGCATCCACCCAGTGACCAGCTACAAAAGCAGAATAACACATCAAAAATATTGAAATCTGGTCAAGACAAAGTCAGCTTCCCAGAACACTTTCCAGAGCTAATAATTATGTTTGTAGACTTAGACAGCAAGTAGTAACAGAAGTAGGAGGAAATAGTCCTTGAAAAAAAGAATGGAGCAGTGGATGAAAACATGCAGAACAGTTCTTCTAAATTCCCTTGCTTATAAACAGAGGTGTAAAGGTTTAATTCATTTCAAAATGCTAATAAAAAGAAATATTTTCTTTGTTGCTTTGGCAGGTAGAACGACCCCCAATATTGCTGAGTGCCAAGATTAGATGGTACCTCTTTCTTTACAAGGCCAGGCATGGCTAAGCAGTTTACAGATATAAGGACCAGGTGGGAAATATCAGCCTGGATCTGTTTGGTTTCTGGACCTCCCTAAAGTTAAAAAGTACTTTCATCCGTTTCTTGCAATTAGTGGCTCAGTCAGATTAAATAAGTGGAAGAAAACAAGAATGAAAATACTGTGGTAGCATTTTTTGTTTCTGCAGCAAATAAAGAGAAGGGGGGAAAAAAACAATGTTTGATAGAAAGATAGTTGCCTCTCCTCATTAACAGGACTGCAGATTTGGGTACATGCTGTGTTATTATCCTCCCTGAGAGACTGTGGGATTTTTAGTTTTTCCCTTAATAAGAATTTAGATTTAAAGAACCATTGTAAAAGAATGAATCATTCTTCAAATAAGCTATTTGCTTCTTGGCTCACTCCAATATTAACAAAGTTTTCTCTCATTAAAGATCCTTTTACCTCAAATTTATGTAAAATGGTATGTCTTTTTTTTCCCTCCTGTGCTATCTAAAACAGTTTGGCCAGCCACAGATACCAACTAATGACTTTATGACTATCATCTCATATTGGCATCTTACTGGTGTCATCACTGGATATTTTTAGTATTAATCAGTACTTAATGGGATATCCAATAGTTTAGATAAACTCTGCATTTTAGAATCGTAAATGAACAATAGAAAACAATAACAAGAGTCCATTTTGGAGATTAAAACCACTAAGTAATTAAAGGAGCAGGCAGACCAATAAGACTTCTAAAGCAGACACCATGAAATTGCCAGGAATTTTCCACATTTATGTCAAAATGTACAGCAAGGATAAGCTAACAGTGAAAAAAATGTTTCCCAAAATTCTTACAGAGGGAACAATGGGCATGAAAGTTATTTCATGTCTATATAATTTGTGTTATTTCATGGCTATATAATTTTCTTAGTAAATCCCGTGAAAAGACTCATAATCTCTGTGAATTTCAGGTTAAGATGTTCTGGCACTGGGAGATAGTTGAATTGTTTTTCCCTCTTATGAAACCACCAAAATTAATGTTTGCCTGAGACCTATGTAGCTCTGCTATGCACTGAATTCAGTGGGTAATGGTCACCTCTCTGTAGGTTATTGAAGATAAAGTAAATGGGAAATTCTGTTTCTCTTTTGATAGCCCATAGGGCAGTAAAATGAAGTTGTAGAGAAGATCTTCATCTTTTTAAACAGAAAAATTCTCACATAAATCTATTACGGATGTGTGGAAGTTAGGAGTTACAGATAGGATGCTCAAGAGTGGACAAGTGATTTGGTTTCTGTGGGCTTGGCTTAGTGGTGAAACACATGTACCCAGTTCTATCTGAAATGACTTAGGGTATCTATCTGAGGCATCCTTACAAGCAAACATGAGAGACCCAGCCCCTTCTGGGCCCACAGGTGGATGCCCATGCTTAGGCAACTCAGCCTACAGGGGCTCTGAATTTCAGGAGTGGATGATCAGGACTTTCTGAAAATTTGGCTGTGCTCAGAGAGACCTTGAAATTGAATAAGTCAAGTCTTCTCTCCATACCAAGTGCACTCTCCTTTCTTGATACCACAGCCTCTCCCAGAAGAGAGGAAATGGAAAGTGCAACCATTTTTTCTGCCAGTTGTTGAAGATTGTGAAGAGCAGGAGTCTTGGGTAGTTTTATTCTTTGTTATTTAGGGAATCAGTTTCTGTGGAGAAATACTGAAGGCAAGTTGTGCTGATTTTGACTAGGATAGAGTTGCCCGTAGTAGCTGGTATGGGGCTGTGTTTTGGATTTGTGCTGGAAACAGTGTTGATAACACAGGGATGTTTTCGTTCCTGCTGAGCAGTGCTGACACAGAGCCAAGGCCTTTTCTGCTCCTCACCCCACCCCACCAGTGAGTAGGCTGGGGGTGCACAAGGAGTTGGGAGGGGACACAGCCGGGATAGCTGACCCCAACTGACTAAAGGGATATTCCATATCATATGACGTCATGCTCAGCATATAAAGCTGGGGGAAGAAGAGGGAAGGGAGGGAAGTTCAGAGTGATGGCGTTTGTCTTCCCAGGTCACCGTTAGGCGTGATGGAGCCCTGCTTTCCTGGAGATGGCTGAACACCTACCGATGGGAAGTGGGGAATGAATTCCTTGGTCTGCTTTGCTTGCATGCACGGCTTTTGCTTTACCTATTGAACTGTCTTTATCTCAACCCATGGTTTTCCCACTTCTACCCTTCCGATTCTCTCCCCCATTCCACAGGGGAGGAGTGAGCAAGTGGCTGTGTGGGGCTTAGTTGCCAGCTGGGGTTAAACCATGACACAAGTATACACCAGAAAATAGCTCTCTAGTACAGTCTCTTCTCTGCTGCAGAGCATGTATTGCTGGCATTGGGTTAGAGCCATTCCCAGAACATAAAGCAGTTTATAGAGCTTCATATCAATGAAAAAGCTCTCCTCTGTCCCACCATTAGTGAGGAAAATGGTGAGACCTCTAGTGTTAAATCCAGTATGGCTGAGCATGATGTTTCATAGGGCCACAGTATATATAAAGGGGTCACAAGGTGCTTATCAGGTACATGGTTTTGACGTAGTGCCTACCACAACGCTAATCAAAACATCAGTCTCACCACTGTGGCAGATGTGCATTAAAGTCTGCAGAGCCTCTGGTTATGCTGGCGTCTTGCTCATTTTTTTGCAGTGCAAGACACTCATACAGCTGAACACCCAAAGAAAGCAGCATTACAAAAAGAGTCAATATGGCAACTTGGACCTAAGATAAAAAGTGAGAAAAGAGAGAGCAACAGATGCATTTTATCACTGAGTTATTATGAGTTTGGTATCACTTTTATGAAGCAGGGTCTTGCAGATGAGCTTCTGCCAAGGAATGTCAATCTTCACTAGCTACTGTTTCTGAAAAAAAGCATCTTGTGAAAGCAGTGTGGTGGTGAGACTCTGCCATGCCTCTCCCACTGTGCCGTGTGTGGAGCCATTGCTAAGAGGTGATCAGATTTTAATCTTTGCTCTTTTTTCCCTTGTTGCTGCCCACTATTAACGGTATTTCAGAGCTTCTCTGCATGCCTCTTTGCCTGACTTTTCTCCCACCTTGGAAAGCACTGAAATTAGATCCATTGACTTCAAGATTTTTCTCTTCAGGGATCTCACAGGTAGCAATAACTGATGCTTGCATTTGTTCATCCCAGTATTTGCTGGTTAACACATGTGAATGCATCCTGCCGTGTCTTTGGTTTCTGTGCTGTGAGAGAGCATCAAACAGTTTTTCTTTCCCATGCCTCCCTCTGAACTCCTCTCTCACCTTTATGATCTGCTCCGTACTTGTTGTCACAGGAACTACCAGTACCTGCCATACGATGAGAGGAAGCCCTGTATCTGCGTCAAGAGCTACTGGGGGGACCAGACCTTTCGTCTATACTCTTCCAACACTCTTGAGAAAATGGCGGATCACCTGGTAAATGGCAACCATCCTCCCAGGCTCATGCATTCAGCAGAGTATGGCACTGAGAGGTTGCGTTCCCCAAAACAGGCCTTCAAAAATTCCCCCAACTGCATCCCTTCCTGTTCATTTTGTGAAAGAGTAGCATTTTTGGTCATAGGGCTGTCTTCTTTTCTCAGAAATGTTTTATTTGTAAGAACATTCAAAGAATTAATCTATGAGATATAGAATAATGCTGTCTCCTATGGCTTTTCCTCTGATGTCTTCTTGCCCAGACCACATGGTTTAACCTATGTTTATGCTGGAGACTCTTTAAAGGACACTTTTTGATTTTAATTTTCCTAGAAGCATTGATAGAGACAAAATGCCATATTGTCTTATGGGCAGTCACTGTGATACCCTAGTCATGGTGTTTTCCGATGATGATGTTTTTCTCTACCCATGTTTAAAGTTGACTATGAACAGTCTCAAGAAAGTAGAAGTATTTTTTTTTAAAGTGACTTCTAATGTTGAATTTTTTTAATTTGGGGCACTCAGACTAAGAGTCTGATTCATCCCTCATTTATCCTCACGAGCATCAACACTGAAGTCATGCTCATGCAAGGCTGTCTAATGAGAAGACAGTGGCTTATAGGCTAATATATCAAACCTAGTTATTTGAAAATTAAGCATCTGAATATATATATGGAAAGATATGTTTGTCAGTGTACCTAAACACCCACAGGCCTTGCTGGAAATCCAGCCATTTATTTTAGTTTGTAAGAACAGACTCCATTTCTCAATTAAACTTCAAGCGTAGTGATATATCAAAGGTCCTGTTCTGTCAGGTTACAAAGTCACCTCCCACATTCTCGCTAGTCATACGGTGAATAACGGTGTTATAACACTGGCAGAATGACAAAAAGTGCCCTCCTTTACACAATGGATTTTTCATGTTTTTTTGTAGGAAGAATCATTAGATCAAGTAAAGGACTTGATCAAGGTTTCAGAGATTGCATCTGAGGAGAAAATGAGGATGACCCTAAATTATTTTATCAATCAAAGCAGGTAACTACATTTACTAAAGGCATACAGAAAATCAACTTCATATGTTGGCTACAAATTCGAGGCTAGACAAGGAAACTGATGATAATTAAAAAAAAATACTGTAAACTTACTGAGATACATATTTTATTTACTCTTTATAAAAGCAAAGGCCTTCCAAAATTGCAGTTTATACAGAGAAAATACTTTATTATTATTTTCAATATTCAGTATTGACAGTAGGCTACTACCAATCATTGTCATATTATTTTGTCTTTCTGGGCTCTAAGAATAGAACGTATATGGGATAAGTAGGATTTAATAAAGTGTGTGATAGACATACTGTTAAAAAGGACAAGGTTAAGATAAATACAAAGGATTTCAGATGTTGGGATAAATCACCCAGTGGGCTCTGTGTCAGATGACATGATTGGGCTCAAAATAGACATAAACCCTAATTTCTACTTGTTAACCCTGTTTCTTTGAAATGTGGTACAGAGTTTTTGGACTCTGTTATTTGATTGTTATCAGTGCTCAATATTTATTTTAAAGAATTTCAGCATGTCTGTCTTCTATTCATGTACTGCAGCAGACAGAGAACATTTCATTCCAATGTATTTTAGCAGCTCACATAAAACCCCCCCACCAAAACCATATTTAAATAATCTGTTATTCTTGTCTCCTAGGGCCTTCATTACCATTGCTGAAAAGAAGCCCAAAGGATTGAACTACACTGCTTTGGACAAAAAGAGACTCATGCTGTTCAAGCAAGAGCTGGTATGTGTGTGTTTTCCTTTAAGCATTGATGCAATGATGTTAACTGAAAGCATGCTGGTTGTATACATTTTAATTTCTATTTGATTTCACCATACTGGAATGCTTTGTAATGAATATGAATATGGTATCCAAGAGCATTTTTTTTAATAAACCCTGCTGTGCTTAATAAAGAGTTGTAAGATATCCTAAAATAATTCAGAACTTGTTGTTTTTAATACAAATAAGACATTATAATAATGAGCTGTTTTTTCTTTCCCACGCATCTTAAAATGGGATGATGCTGAATTCAGTGGAAAACCACTGAATTAACACTGCTGTTAGGCATTTAATTACTGTGGTGGGGCTGAACTTCAAGACTAGTAAAGTCTGGCATTTGATATTCCTGGACCTAGTCACCTCCTCCAGGGAACCAGTGAGAAGAAATCAAACTGTGTGGAGGTTGTCTGAATGTTTATTAGCTTTATTTACTGTTCGTAGCACAGAATTTGGTTGTGACTTCTGTCAGGACTGAGGCCCTATAATTCTAGGTGGTAATCACATGTCTCTTGGGACTTCCATACATACAAACAAAGAGAAAATGGAGAACATTCACATTTTATGTTATCCAGCTCCAAAGAGCTCCATACTTTCTGTTGTGACAAAGAAGGTAATTGTTACCTTGAACCATATGTCTCCCATCTTCTTTTTTCAACTTGAATCGAAGACTCTTTTCTCCTTCTGTGTCCAGTTTAAACTACTTGATAATGCATAAAAAATACATATTGTCTTTCCTGACTGCAGGAAGCAATGTCCAGTGATGCCAAGGGAATTGTTCAGCAGCAGAAAAAGAAGATGCCACTGGATGAAATGATGCGTGAGACTCAGAGCTTTATAGATAAAATTCGATTCTTGGTTGATGAGGTAATCCATGAAGAAATTCAGAAAAATTTAAAATCCAGGACTTGACTTTGATTTTCATAATCCCATGTGAATAATAACTCCTGGCCTGGCTATCCAAAGAGTTCTCCTTTAGACATTTGGACCCAATTCTGTTTCACATTAAATGGAGCTGTTCACAGACTGGAGTAGGAAACACTAGGCTATCTGGTTGGAGAAGATGCAGTACAGAGTTTCCTCTTCTTCTTCTTCTTCTTTTTTTTTTTTTTTTTTTTTTGTTTGTTTTTTAAATAAGGTCATCCCATATGTGTCCTGGTGGTTTGGAGACAGCCTGCTTTCTGATCTGAGTTAATGTCTCCACTTGTATGGCTGTAGTGATTTGGACTGGTATGGGCTCAGGGGTCTCTATACTATACTTCACTGTGCAGGCACTGCTTAGACGTGTTATCCAGCCTGAGAATTACAGAAGAACGGATATATTGGTCAGACCAAAATCCAGCCAGTGGAATGCTGTCCCTCTGAGAGCTGTCTGTGCGAGCAAACTAAACAAGGCCATGGCTATTCCCTGGCTCAGGCAGCAAGTGGCACAGCCTGGCATGGTTTGCAGCCAATGCTCAAATTCTCTTCCTTCCCAAAAGAGAGTGACCTTGCTCACAGTGCCTCCTGGGAACAGTCCCTGGGCTGGCCTTTGCTTCCAACCACGCTCAGGCTTTGCTTGGGGAAATGTTATTTGAGGCAGGGCAAGGCGTGGAGCATCCTCACAAGCAGAATAGATGATTGTATGCCAGTGCTCGAGTTTGGCCCTGGTCCTTTTTGGTTTACTAGTATAGATGAAGTTGATGGTATTTCCATGGTCAGAACTTCAACTTCATCTATACTATACAACTTTCAGCTTATGCAGTCTGTAGGTAAGTTATTTCTGAGACAGAGTCATATCCAGATTTTTAGTTTTAGTTTCTCCTGGAATGATTAATAGGGTGGGTGCTTCTTAATCACTCTACAAAGCTCTTTACCTTCGGCTGTGCTTAGGAATGGAGGTTTGGACTGCAAAGCATGAAGCGACAGCCTCTTTTCATCTGGGTGCACATCTGCCGCTCCACAGGAGCTGTGAGGGAATCAGCTCTTGGTGGAGAGTGTTGTAACAAAAAATAATGGTGGTGACTCATAGAAAGAATTCAGTTGTAGTTCAATATTCCTCATCATTTAACAGCCGCAGAATACGGTGCCTGATGTGTTCATCTGGATGCTCAGCAGCAACAAGAGAGTTGCATATGCAAGAGTCCCAGCAAAAACCATACTCTATTCCCCAGCAAAAGAGCAGAGAGGCAAGGACTGTGGGAAGATTAAAACCCATTTCCTGAAAGTAAGTTTGGGGCAATCTCAAATGCAGCTAATGCCTGGGGAGCATTCACTATTCAAATTTCTTCCAGGGATTGTATTTTACAGGCTCATCCTTGTAATGTACTAAAAATGTGTACGTATTTATATCTGCCATCTATTAATGTTTGCTTCTTACGTTTATGTTTGTCCTTCTTTAAGCACTGCATCATTACCAGACTTTTGGTGTTTGAGTAATTAATTCTCTCACTACTTATTATGGCAAGTATACAGCATTGTTTTTCTCTCGCTGTACATATAAAGAGATAGAAGAGGTACAGCCTCTTTGCTGGCAAAGACGTCAGAATGCAGCATGTGAAAGTCCGGGAGGAGACTGTTAAGACATCAGCATGCAGCAACTCAGGTAGCAAGGAAACCTAGGTATTCAGAGGTAATGTAGCAGTTGTTTATCCTTGCTACTTAAAATGTGCCTAGGTTTGTGCAATATATGTCCAAAATATTGTTACGGGATTATTCATCTTGAAGGAAATTCTTAGTGGATATACTCCTACAAAGGCAGTGTGACAGGTAGTACGTGGCAGTGGAATATTATGCAATGGAATTGTTACTGTGGCCATCAGGAAAAGCCCAAACACACAAGATAACAGTAACTTCATATAATGACTTTTTAGTGGGTTTTCACCTGGAAGTGCTGGGAGCACTCCCTTAAAGCACAGCTAAAGAGCAGATAGAAATATCTAAGCTCCTGATAGTTGCCATAGGTGCTTGCTAAGCACAGTAGTATTTGCCTGCATGAACAAAAAAAATACCATAATTAACTCTCCAGCCCCTTCAATATCAAGAATTACCTTTAGGAACAGATAACACTAAACACTGAGCTTAGCAGAGCTAGATGAAGTGGGAAGGGAGAGGAAGGAAATAATAGCATTGTTTGTTGAGACTAGTAACATTTTATACTGAAAAATGTTTTCTGACCTGCCCAATGGAGTAATATTTTTAGTAATACATGAGACTAACTATTGGAGACCAGCAAAACTGCATGAAATGGAAAGTGGGCTGAAGTCTGAGAACAGTCGCGTATCAGCTAGCACTGACATGCTTGCACCTTTTAGGTTGCCTGCACAAACCTCTACATATTAGCCAGTACACCATTTACATAGACTTTCAGCTGAGCAAACTGCTCATTTCTTCCCTAAGAATCACAGAAGTTCCTTGTGCTAAATGAGTCTCAGGGGCACTGAGAAATGCCGTTTATCAGCTCAGTGAATACTCCTTTATTTTACTCTGACTTTGTAGGACTCAGCATCCAGCCATCTCTCTTTCTTGAGCTCATTGGTGATGGGTGGATTTTTTTCTTCAGTTACCAGGAAAGCGCCCACTGGGTTGGACTGTGCAGGCAAAGGTAGACATCTACCTATGGCTTGGACCTGCCAGCTATGCCCACAGCATCATGGAGAATTTGCCTGTAGGATATGAGACTGAATTACCATCTAACACCAACTCAGGGCACAGTGTGGTGCCCTCACCTGCCTGCCTGCTGTATAAAAGTAAGGCACTGTTTCTTCTCCCTATTAACAATTATGAGATACGGCCTCAAAAGCGCTAATTCAGAGGAAGACATAACCTCTGTTTGAAGTAACTGTTCTAAGATGATCATGGTTTAGCATCTTTTCACCAGAAAAGGCTGGTTTCATCGCCAAGTCATCAGTCCTGCTGCTGACACTTTGCAGATGTCAGGGAAAGAAAGGACCTGTTCGCTCCAATGTCTGTTCCCTGTCCCATGGGTCTGTCTCCTTGTAATGAGGAAACATCCTTCAACTCTTCTGATGAAGCTACTGCATTGAACAGCTACTAGATACACCAGTGATGGGAGATGAAAACTGGCAGTTAACAACCTTGCAGTACAGACTTGCATGAGACATTGATTTTAAGTGAATACAAAAGTCTTACACAACTTCTGAATGTCTCAGATGTTTCTTTAGTGACATAGCACTAGAAACAATTCCTCCTGTCAGATCCTGGTTGCACAGCAGGTGATGAATCTTCCCTTCCTACCTATGTGCTGCATCATTTCCATGAAGCTGACATCACTGTTTTCTTTGCAATGTCATAGCCCCGCACCTCTTCCAGCTGAGAGCCCACATGTATCAGGCGAGAGGGCTTATTGCAGCTGACAGCACTGGACTTTCCGATCCTTTTGCAAAAGTTACTTTCACATCACACTGCCAGACCACGAAGGTAAGTTCCAAAGCCTTTCAGTAAATGAAAATACTTCTATTTTTTCCAATTTAGCCATGAAAAGGAAAAATCTTGGGTTATTTTAGCTCAGATATCAGATTCTCTGGGCTACTGGAACTTTGTAGCAAGTGAATCAACTTTCTCTACATCTTTTTCTATATGTTTTAAGTTTGGGCTCTTGTCATTGCTTGGTATGAGGATGAACCCCCATGGTTCTCTTTTCCTATAGTCTATGTGTGCAATGACTGAGCAAAGAGTCAAGATGTTTGCTGTAGCCATGTGAGCCAGCATGGCTTTTTGTGGTGGAATTTGGCAAAGCACACTGGTGGTTTTAGAGTGGCAAAGTTGAAATGAGCTGAAAACAGAAAGGTGTGAGACTTTCCACACCACTTTGATGCTGCAAAAATGTCCCCATAAGGAGTGGTTTCACATCTCCCTCAGGCATCTCCAGGGGCAAATGATCTCCTGTGGGCATTTGATGGAGTCTCTAGAGAGAAGGGGGAACTTCTACAGAGCTCCAGCAAGACGGTTGAAGTACAGCCCTGGCAAAGGAGCAGGATGGTCCCTTGCAGAACATGAAGACTGACTTTCAGAGGTCCTGAACTTTCTACAACTACCCTGGAGTTAAAATGGTCCTGGGACTTCTGAAATCCATGCCACATGCAGAATTGGCTATGTCAAATATGGCCTTGCTTCAGAAAAAGTATTTAACCCCCCCTCAATGCAGCCTCTCTCCCAGAAAACTCCACAGAAGACTGTTTTAATTTAATTCATTCTAAAATTCCTCTGACACCTCCTTCTCTTACAAAGCAAGCTCTGTAGCACGTGCCAAAGGGAGCAACAAACAAAAATCTCTCTGCTTCAAGCTGTAGGTATCTGTTTGTGCTGCTTTTGCCTCAAGGGTATGACTCGATTTTTTCCTATTATGTGATTTCAACTTGTAATAAAACTTGGTGAATGAAGCCAATGAAGTTAGTGTTTAGATGCACCAGATTCAGGAAAGTAGAATTTTGCCCAGGAAAAACAGGATTTCAGATTTCATAGGTACAGAAGTATTAAGTTTATTCACTGCCTGAATAAAATACTGTAGCCAATAACTTGCATGTTTTTAGAAGACTGTCAGCCAAGTGCCAATAAACTGTAGTCAAGAGCCCTATTTCCATTCAAAAGAATGATAATGGGTTATGAGTCATTTTGCAGTTGGCATATTTTTCCTCTTTAAATGTTATCTTTGTTAAATATATTTCCTGCCAAGACAGTTAAAACATTGTCAATAATGAAACGCCATAAGCATCCACATAAGCCAAATTACAACAAATTAATAAGTATCAATTTATTATGAGTGATTCATTAAAATATCCTTTAAAAAAAAAAAAAGTGTTATGTGTCATTACACTGAAGTTAAAACCAGATTGAAAAAAAGTACCCTGGAGAAGTGAAAATGGCCCCTGTTTAGGGCAAAGGCTTTATTTTAATATAATTTGGACAAGCACCTGCTCTTCTAAATCAACATCTTTCCTTTAAATTTAATACTGAGGTTTGTCTACACAGGCTGGTGGTCATGTATTGATATGCTTTTGAGGGGTCTGTGAGGCAAACAGGGAAATGGAGAAACTCGAGATACTGGCCTCAAGGTGAAAGAATCATATCCTTCTGGCTGGGAACAGCTGCTGAAAAATGTGGTGTCTCAGACAAGGAATTGTTCAGGCTGTGAGAAAGGACGTCACCAGCAGAACAGCGCGTCCTGCTGAAGGACTCCCCAGCAACCAGTTCATAGCTCATTAAACATTTCCTCTCTTTCATTAGATCATTTCTCAGACGTTATCCCCCACCTGGAACCAGATGCTGCTTTTCAACAGGATTGTGCTTCATGGTAACAGAGAGGAGATCGCTCAGTTCCCACCAGAGATCGTCATCGAGCTGTACGATGACGATGCAGTGGTAAACTCAAAATACTTCTTAGTAAAAAACCTGGGCTCTTACATCTTAGTGCCAGTGTGAAAGCAAAGCTGTGTCACTGAATAGGCATGAATGGATGACCTTGCTGAATGGAGCTCAGTGTTACAGAGGTTTGCAGTTCAACATCTGAAAACAGCCCTGAGACTCACTTTACATCCTTGCAAAGCTGTGGCCTTGTTTTTTCCCAAGTGAACCTTGCTCCCAAAGACTGGCTTAGAGAAAGCAGAAGCATCTTGCCCCCACCTCCCTTGCTCACAATTATAAATACTGTATCTAAGTCTGGGGAGACATGGATTTATCTCTGACCATGCAAACTCTGACACAGTCTCACTGGTTGAGTATAGAGCTCAGAAACTAAGGATGCTCTGAAGAGGTGATAAGTACTCAGCTCCTCCATTTCATAGCTGCCTTGCATTTTGCCTTACTGTTTACTTCAGGAGAAGGTTTGTTGGTTATTTTTTTGGTTGGGTTTTTTTTTCACAAATGCTAAACTCTGTATCATCTTGGCTCCTAATGACAGCTATGAAATTGAAATGCATTTGACACCTATATTCTCCTTTATTTAGGGTAAAGCAGAATATATTGGGTCTACAGTGGCTGCCCCTGTGGTGAGACTTGCTGATCAAAACTATGAACCACCTAAACTTGCTTACCATCCAGTGTATTGTGGAAATCTTTCTGGAGGAGACCTTCTTGCTACATTTGAGCTTCTGGAGGTAAACTAATCTTTCTGGAGCATTAGACTTCTACACCCTGGGGTCACAAAAGCAACTGTGGTATTGAGGACCACCTCCCTCTTGAATTAGCAGGAATTGCAGCTGGAGCAGGATCATTCTGCTGTTGAACCTCATAGTCCCCATGCAATCTCTGTCACCCCACCCTGCCAAGGGCCACTGTCCATGCACACACCACCACCAGCCCCTCGCATGCTGTGAGCCTCATTTGCCCATCACTTGCCCCGTCCTAAATTGGGCTTTGTCCTGAGAAACAACTACGAAACTCACACGGCCATTGCAATGACCTGCTCTTTGGAGTAGCGCATGGCACTGACTTCAGCAACCCCAAAGCTCTCAAGAATACCTTCTCTCTTAGGAAAGGGAGTGGTGAATAATAAGGATTGGATTAGGGAGACTGAGTTTTCAGATAATCCTAGCATATTAAGAGAAATGTTATGCTGGTTTCCAGCTCTGAGAGAAAAGGCAAATTCAGTATACCTCTGGGGCTAGCCCAGCAGATGCACGAGTGGGGTGTATCATGCCTGGGATTTCAGGGAATTTCAGTGGAATTTGCAGACCTGCTAGTTACGAGAAACTTCTCTCTGCTGAAAATTTACAGCAGTTCATTCTGAAATCTGAAATGGGCAAAACATGGAGCTCCTTGACACATTTTAAAGATATTCCTGAGATAAAACAGGCTTTTAAGCATGATGGGCTAATTATGTTCTTGGTGAAAGCCTGAAATATGACACCACAGGGAGCATATCCTCATTATGGTGGGCACCTAGGGATAGAGTCTAGTACCTTAGCTATATTTTCCCCCCTTTTTTATTGAAATCCATTTTTTGGTGAACAAAGAGAGCATTATATTTTGTTTTTCCATCTTTTGGGACAAGAGAAGCAGCACTGCTTCTGGGTTATATCCAAATATACCCCTAAGACTTCTCTAGAGAGTTGATAAGAACTATAAGTAAAGACCCTGCAGTCTTTATTTTCCCACTCTGTGTTATTCTTCTCAGTGACAACACTGCAGAGCATCTCACATGGCAGAAAAAAACAATATGGACATTAAAGGCATTTTCAGGAAAAGATATATATATAAAAAAACATCTGCCAGGCTTCAAAGCACTCCCAGAGGTGATGTGCCGGTGACTCCTTGCAATATCAAGGAAATCTTGATGATACTCTCTGTGAGAATGGAAACAAAAATCTCTCATCGCTAATTTATTCTCATTCTGAGCCAATAACCTGTCCATGACATACCGTGCTTGATAACTCTGATCTGCAGGTACTGTTTGCTTCAGCTGAAGAAGTGTTGTGGAAGAAGTGAATGCTCCTTTCTGAAAGTGAATGCTATTATGCTGGAGGGATAAAATTATTCTTATAACAAAGCATCCTGGCATTTAGAAAAATAATAGACTAAAAAAATACAGACTAATGGATACTAGGAGTCTTGATTTTGCCCAAAGTGATCTCAGAATTTACTGATTTATTTTTTTTTAATCAAAAAAGCAAAATCCTCTTATAAACACACTTTGTGGGTCTTTATTGTCATTTGACTGCTAAATCATTCTTCACCTCTTGTTCTGTGCAGTTTCACTGTGGACATGAAGCAAAGTCCTCAGCCAAGCCCATTTCACTGAAATTAATAGTTTCACTGCATGATACAGAAGCACTCTCAACTCCGCTAGTGGTTGTTGGAAAACTGGGGACCTTGAAATATATTGCAGAACTGTTAAACTAACTGCAATACTTAAAAAGAACGAAAGTGAAGATCCAGGGAATCTTGATTTGATATCAGTCTTAGGTTTTGCAGTCCTGGAGTGCAGTTTAATAAAATTCTTTCTGTCCTCAAATGTGAGATCTCACCAGCCTTCCTCTCCTAAGTCATGTCCTTGGGAACTAATCCCTTCTCATAGCTATAAGACAAGACACAAATAGCTATGCATGTTCTAGTTTAAATAAATAAATAAAATCATGCATTTTAGAAATTAAATATGCATAAGTCACTATATTGTGCACATTAATATATTTTTGTTCATATGCCATCAGTACCCAAGTCAGATAATGCAATGAAAGTGGGTACGTTGAGATGTAAACTGTGCGGGGACATGACATAGGGTATGTGATCTGGTTCAGGTGGTCTTTGCCTCTTGTTTTTTTTAAAGTACCAGTTAGTTAATCTATTGTGGAGTAAATATTTGGAGCATTTAATATCAGTTAATATACACTTGGAAGCTCTGAATATAATTAAAGCTAAACAAGTGGATTTCTAGGCAGGCAGGTATTTTTTCACAAAGTTCAATGTTTCTGTTTGGCTTTTTAAACAGCACCACAGAGGTGGCTGATAGAAACCAGATACATTGGGGAACAACAAAACTAGACCTAGATCACTAGCCTCAAGTTTTCACAAAATCTATTAAATGAATTGCTTTGGATTTTTACTGATAAAAGGCAGTAAACATGTGCATGTGAATTATTGCTGTCAATGCAACTACTCACATATGCTGCAGGTGCTATGCTAGAAGATATGTTATCCACCCATCTCCTCCTTCACCTACAAGGTACTAAGGAACACATCCTTTCTCCCTTATGCTAATTAAACTCCCACACAACTGTACACAGCTGCAAATTACAGACAGATGGCCTAGTTAAAAGCAGAAGACTTCAACTTTACAGGTCCTTTGAGAGCTGTATCTCAGATGCTTCACCTTTCAATAGTGACAAGTTAGCTTAGGAACAAGGAAGCACTCCAGAAGTTGTGTTTCTGTTTCCCAGAAGCTGTAAGTACAGTATGCTACAGGTACCATAATTCATGAGAAAGCTGAGGAGAGCTCTGCCTGTAGGTTGTTACCTCACCTGTGAAAGCCATGTTGCTCTTGCTATCACAGCCTGAGCTTCTGGTAGGAGTGATCGTCAGGTCCTGGCTTTAACTCTTTTATGAAGAAATATGCTAAATCAGGCCAGGCTTCAGATCTGCCCTGCATGGACTGAGAAGGTCATAAATACACTGTTGAAAATTAGGATTGGTATTGGGAAAAGAAGCCGGGGAGTTTTCCCACAGAAGGAAAACCAAAGAGGCAGCAGATCCTGGAGCATGGCAAGAGGCAAAGAGATGGTCAAGCCTCAGAGCTGCAGTGGAGCATGCTGTCCTCCCACCCGCCTGGCGCAGGGCAGTCATGCACCCCAAAGAAGCTCCTCAGTGTGGGGCAGGCTTATGTGCAATCACAGGCAAATAACATAAGTGCCGCCTGCTGCAAGATTTTAGTAGTTGCACAGAGAAGACCCAGCCCTAATGCTGGAGATATGATTTGCAAGTCCTGCAAATGGTGACAGCATGCAATAATGCAGGACTGCTACTCCATACTGACTGCGGAGCATTATGTCTGTCTGGCAAACGTGCAGTTTAGCTGATGTGTATTTTCTGTTCACCAGCCTTTTTAACTAGAACCAGCTCTACAATTTCCCTGTGAAAGTCTTCTAAGTAGTTTTGCTCAGAATTTTTGTTAAATAGAATCACCATGCTTTCCATTTTTAGTAAATAGAATTACCATGCTTCAGTACATGCATATCTTTAGGGCAGATTATGTCCGCCTAGGACAAAGGAACCTTTTTTTCGGAAAGATGCATAAACCCAATCCATTGAATACTCCTTCTGCCAAGTATTTTGACATCACAGCAGGGCAGACAGCAATCCAGGTCACATTCCTCTCACAGCACAACCTGTCTGCTCTGCAACGTGTCTTGTAAAACTGCATTAAACTGATATGTTCTATGTACCATTCACAGATACTTCTAATACTGGTTTTATCCTTCCAGAAACCAGCCTAAGTTATGACTGCTTAATTTTTCAGATTCCTGAGTCAGATCCAGACAGACTTCCCCCACTGGATCCACCAGATATTGGCCAGATTTACCCAGTCCCAGCTAACATCCGACCTGTTTTAAGCAAGTACAGAGTGGAGGTAAGTTACTTTGAATATTTCCATTTTCAAATCTCAATTCCTTTTACTCTCTTATTGAACTGTAACAGTAAGGGATGATGACTTTAAAATCCTGATCAATAGGAATCACGTAAAAATATCATATAGTTCCCAAAATAAATGTGATAAGCTCAGACCAAATTGATTCTCTGAGGCTGGGCACATAAGGCAGTGCTTCCACCTGAGGCCAGCAAAGACAACATCTCAGTCCCGGCGTGCTGGGAAGGGACTGCACCCATGGCAGAGAGTGGCTGATGGACACACGCTCTGTGCAGCCCAGAAGTGTCTGCAGGAGATGGAGAGCTTCCCCTTGCAGCTGCCCTCACTGGAGATGAAGTTCAGCATCAGCCACTTACCAGGCCTTTTCTGGGTCCCAGGCGATCTCACCTGCCTGCGTACAAATGTTTGCATCTTCTCTCCCCTCCTTTCTTGCACAATTTGGGCCCAAAGTCCACTTATGTTAGAAAGCAGGGAAATGTGGCAGCTTTTCGTGTTGGTGTAATGCCCGGATGCTGCCCAGCCTCACCACTCTGTCACCCACCCTGCAGCCTCCACACCACCTGCTTATTTGCCCATTTTGCTGTGCCAAGTCAGACCCTGCTTGCGTTACCTGGTAGCCCTTCCCCAGAAATACTTGTTCAGAAGCCCAGAAGCAGTTCCAGCTTTGCCTTAAAAGATAAAGCAATTGAGCTGATGAAAAGGAGAGAACAATTATTAGCTCTGCTAGATCATTTAGTTAAGCTATTGTTTTCTGTACATAGAAAAGAGTTCATTAGCACTATTCTTTTTTTACATCTGACATTGTGATGTAAATAAGCCCGTGAACTACTCTGCTGATGCTAAAGGCACAACTTAAATCCTTAAGCTTAGGTGTTCTCTAAGTATTGTGCTATGAAGGCCTTCCCACTGCCCCTGCAGTACAATTGCTTTTTGCTGCTTGTACATTTTCTGTTTTACCGTGCTGTGACATTCATAGCTCTAAGGCACCCAGCTTAGAAGCATCCTCACTGTAGGCTACTTGTTTGGACAGCTGAGCACAGCAGCCACCCTTTCAGAGTGATCCAGTTCTTAAATACATTAAATTGTGATTTGGAAGTGCGTCTCTGCCTCCTTTGGTCCTGGAGGGAGCCCAGGACAACTCCACTCCTCAGTCTGATACCTCGGGCGCCTTAAAATCAGGGAAACTGCATTCAGATCCAGACAGTTAAATTGCTTCAAGAATGGGTTTATAGCTGAAGTGCACGTATATATAGTGAAATATGAACTCTGGGGGGTATCCAGCAAGGAAATGCCACAGAATGAATGTAAACACAACTATTTTTGTTAAGATATTGTACACTATATTTCACAGTAGTGGAAAAGGCCATGGAGCCATTGTAACTACAGAAGTGTGCCCCAGTTTCAACCAGGAACCTCTGGCAACAGAGCAGGATCTCGCTGATCCTCACGCACCTCCAGTGCCCCTTGCTACTCCCTGACTCACACAAATGCTCAGTCCTGCAAGCATTCAAGTTGTCCACAAAGACCCCCATGCTCCCTTTGGTTCCAGTCTTCATTTCACGTTCATGAGAATGACGGCTTCTCTCACCAACCGTAACGTAACCATCTGTCGCTGCCCCAGCCCTCTCCTTCAGGGCCCCTTAAGGTGTGCTGTATAAAGTCACATTTTTCCTGCAGACCCAGTCTCCTTCTTGTCCTCCAGACCAGGAGCACGGTCCTTTGAAGGAAAGCTGCTTGGACACCTCCCGCCATCCATTGTAGACATCAGGGCTTGCTCAGCTGGCAAACCTCTTCATCACGTCTGCTCATATGGGATTTGATTGCTCCTTCAACAGCTCTGACATTTTAAACAAACCTAGTCCCTGCTGTTCAGATGAATTGTCCCCTTGCCCTGCTGAAAAGATTACTTTTGCCAACTTGATTATTATGGCTTGCTGTTGGCAATAACTCCTTGATAACAGTTGGATGTTATTAACTGCTTTAACTTCCACCATAATCCTGATGGTTATTGGATATCAGATTTTAAGTTGTTTGTTTTTTCTCTGGTAGTCCTGCATTCCAAAAGGGATATGAGGTGATGGGATCCCAGCAGTGGCTTCCCCCAGACTGAGCGGTCTCTGCAGGCTACCAATGTTTCTCTCTGCCCACCACAGGTCTTGTTCTGGGGTGTTCGAGAGCTGAAGAAAGTCCAACTCCTCTCTGTAGATCGCCCTCAGGTTCTCATCGAATGTGCGGGGAAAGGAGTGAAATCCTCTGTCATCCAGAGCTACAAAAAAAATCCCAATTTCAGTGGCCTTGCAGACTGGTTTGAAGTGGTACGTACAGCATGCTGTTCCTTGCCTGTCTGTTCTCTGGTTAGACAAAGTGTTAATTACTAATTTCCTTCCTTTCATGTCAAATAATTTCCTCTGTGTCTTGATTAAATACTAAGGGACATCAGTTCTTATGCAAAATCTACTGATTTGAAGATGCTTTAAAAGACTCCTGCTACAAATGTATGATAAAAGATGATGTTCCTCATGTTATGTCCCAAGTAGGCAAGGAATTATGTTGTAATCAGATTTTTACTGATAGGTTGGAACTTGTTGTCAGATAACAGGGATATTTTTAGTATTTTTTCCTCCTCCTTTCCCATTTTTCAGGGTAGTGTTCAGTTTCCTTTATTTTCTTTCAATTCTTTTAATTTTTCTTCATGTGTTACTGGGCTCTTAAGGGGATTGATAATTTCTGGCTCAGGAGCTCTGGACCTTTTCAAGTTGTAACACTTGCTGTTATGGAGTGGAAATTTAATTATTGCCTGTTGGCTGGGTTATAAGAGTTGGTACTTTCAGTAGACGAAGGTCAACATCAGAAAAAAAAATCTGTTTGATTTTCTCTACTTGCTAGCATCAAGAGAGAAGTTTATTTATAAGACAAAAGGATATCATAACATTAACCTGGATACTGAAGTATGGTTGCTACAGTATTTTTAGCTTCCATTGTATGTCACATGTCCAAAGAGCCATTTTCCCTTTTGTAATTCATCCCATAAAGCATGTAACTACCCAGTGTCCACATCTCATGGTTGGGCAAACTGACGCAGATAGGATTGATAGTCTTCAATAAAGCGGCCGTGGCATTGAGACTCACAACTTCCAACACAGCGTTCATTCCTTCTAAATGTTCCTGATACTCCCAGTTTACTCTACCAAGAGATATACTTGTATATGACAGCATGGGACTGAACTCAGCAGCACACTTTCTTTTCTTAAGGACAAGGCTTTCTCCAGACTTGGCAGAAAACTGTGGTCAGAACTATATTGCTTATGCCATATGCATTTTGCATTTGGGGTATGTTAATAGCTGAGGAGAAGAAGGGAGGGAAGACTAATAGTCTCATTGCTGTGCACAACAAATATTCTACACCTGTTCTATATTCTCTAGCAATTCTCATGCTGCTATCTGCCCTCCTCCATAGGAGCTGCCTGAAAATGAACTCTTGCATCCGCCACTAAGCATTTGTGTGGTCGACTGGAGAGCATTTGGGAGGAGTACTCTTGTTGGAACGCACACCATCAATTACCTTAAGCAATTCCTATGTAAGACCCAGTTGCGTCCTCAAGCTACACCGAACAGACTAGACATTGTAGAAATGGAGAAAGGTAAACGTCCAATCCTGACCCCAAATAAAAAGACAAAGGACCTGTTCAGAGGCTTAATACTAGGCACAAACTTAGAAAATATGCTTTGTTGTGTTGAGTGTAGGGTCAAACCCTTAATGATACGATCATTTGATGATCACCAAATGTGATGATAACGTTTCTGGCAAAATCTTACCTAACTCGAAAATTTTCAGTTTCAGCTTCACCTGAGTCATCCCAGCCTGCTGAGTTATCCCAAGAAGAACCATTTTTAGCTGATCATGTCTATGCTGAGGTGGAGCAGGGTAAATGTACAGTGGTAGAGCCAGACCCACATCTTGCAACAGTTCCTCCCACTGAACCAGAGCATTCTGCCTCTGAACCAGGGAAAGACAGAAAACAGAAGGTGGGTATAGCTGAAACTGCCAGCTAACTTTCTGTTGCAGTCTTGCACACTTTAGCCCTCCCTATAAAACGGTAATCTCTTACTTAACTCAGGATTAGAGATTCTGGGTACTGATGTTAACACCCACGCTATCTTGCTGGCCCTTGAGAGAACTAGTTAGCAATGCAGCTTTGACCCCACATAATTTCATTACTTCCATTAATAGATACTTCCTTTCTTTCCTTTTGTGCTAAATGGTCATCCCATGGGCAAGTACTACTGGAGTAGTAGGATTTTTGTTTTTCCTGGCCTTGAATGATCTGCTTAATTGCAAAACTCTGTGAATGACTGTTTCTGTGTCCATGGCATTTAGGTAGGGATGAAAGCTGCCTTTTGTTAGATGCTGTACCAATGTGGAGCACAAAGTCTGTTTCCAAAAGATCTTATGGTCAAAGTATAAAATTGGTGTCAGTCTGTGGGTAGAAGCATATAGGAAAGTACAGGAAAACAAGGCAATTCCGGTCAGCATGGCACTTACAGTACAGTATATGTTCTAGATTGTGCACTGTATTTTTTGTACAGATGAATGTGCTCCTCCTTTCTCTGTAGTTTCTCCCATCACAATCACTCTTTTATTAACAACAATAAAAACAGAGGACACAGGACTGAATTTCATTTCAGAAGCTGTTTCTGCAGCTGCATGAAGTATGTTTCTTTAACCTTTGATGTTTCAGTGGTCAGATATTTCCAGCATCCTTCATAATTAGGAGGTCAAAGAAACTGCAGGGATGTCCTGTTCCCTAGTGATAAACAACACTCTGGATCCTTCATCTGTTACAGAACAAATTTAATGTACAACAGCAAAGTATAGTAAGAAATGATTCCTAGAGGGAAACCTGTAATTTAACTGTCTATGTCATATTAATTGTCATTCCCACCTTTCTATTTCTATCTTTTCTTTGGTCTCCCTAGCCAAATTGACAACTCTTTGTAAGGGTGTAGGATGAAACACTCTGTTTAACAAGGGCCAATCCTTCTTAGGCTAGAACGAACCTAGTAAGATTTGCAACAGGAGCAGGTGATTTTCAGGATCAGATTTTAGCTTTTTGTAAGAAGAGAACAGCTGAACTGTAGCAACTGTTGTGACTCTTTCTTTTTCCAAAAGGCAATAAAGTAATAATGGGAGTTCTTAAAGTACTTGCAGACTTAAATGGGAGAAACCAATTTGTATCTCAATGCTCACATCCCTTAAAACATTACCCATTTCTCTGTGTAGATTCGCCTGTTGCATGAGTTGCTCCTGTGGCAATGTCTCAAATGTTCAAAATTTTGGCATCATCATTAGGTAATGTAGAGATAACTTTAATAATATGATGACCATGAAGACAGAGACACTAATTCATATTGCATTTTATTTAGCTCTTGGAGGTTGACATTTTCTTCCGGTTCTTCATTTTCTTCATCTGTTCATGCTTGATGTCATGAGTCAGGTGATTAGTTTCAATCAGTTCTAGATTTCAGCAGTGTTTTCCCCATGCATTGGTAGGATATGAAAAAATCCATCAGACGGTCAACAAAGAGGAGAAAAAGAACAATTGCAGATGAATCAGCTGAAAACGTTATTGACTGGTGGTCAAAATACTATGCTTCTGTGCTGAAAATGCAAAAGGTAAGTCACCCAGCATGACCAAAACTCTCATGAATGACCAAAGCTGTAAAAGTAGATTTACTGCTGAATGATTCCTTTTGGTATTACATTCATACTGAGGAGTTTGTCCATCATCTTTTTCTTTTGAAAGGCAAAAGGAATTTTTTCCAGTGAGGGGAAATCTGAAGACAGTAAGTAAATTATTTGCATTTTTCTATTGTTTTGTGCTGCTAATACTTTGCTTCTCTACTATTTTACTGTCAAAAATTAATGTCTGATAACAGAGTTCTGCTGGTATAAGGGGTTCTTTCCTGTACAGCTGATCAGATGGTGGGTAGGTTAACATTTCACAGGTAGTGTTGGGTTAACATGAGTTTCCTGTCATTCAAGTCTCTTGCACAGAGAGTTGTAAAGTCAAAGTCTTAAATGATAGAAGGTGGAGATTATCCTAATCCTAATAGGAACAGATTCTGCTAGGAGACTCCATAGTCATGTGTGTTACTTCCATAGCTGTAAAGCTTTGTGTCTATATGTGGTGGGTTGACGCTGGCTGAGGGCCA